AGCTAAATTCTTTTCGCCTCTCTCCTCATGGTTGCAAAATGGCTGCTGTGTGCCGTGTGAGTGCGCTTCCTCATTATGACCCATAGGAACTAGAGGCTTCTCCTGCATTCCTGAGATGAAAATCTTTCCCTCTCCTGGCTGGGCTATGAGGGCAGGTCCAACTGCCCTTGCACTGCTTGACTTGAGCCTGAATTTCTAATCCGCTCTTGTGAGGGCAAGAAACTAGAACTGCTGGCTTAAACAGTCATTCTTGTGCTAGGGCTTTGGGAACCCCAGTTTATGTTGGGTCTTTAGGGAGATGGCACCTGTGTAGTCACTTGCTTGTGTCCTGTGCTGTGACCACCTCAGAATGGACCAGTGGGTATCCTCCTGATGTTCCATTACATCTGTCTGCTTCCAAATAAGCAGGTGGCTATTTCCCTTGTTATTTTGCAAACAGCATGTACTTGTATTTAATTTTAGGTCTTTATGAACTAGCTAAAAATCTTTTGACATTTTGAAGACTAACATCCCTGTTTAGAGCCACTTTGTGATGATACCCAGAAAAAAGAAGAGAGTCATTTGCTGACTGTGGCTGCTTCCCCACTTTCATATTGGTACCTTGGGCAATTTCATCATAAATATGTTCATGACCTAGGACATTGTACCTGTTACCCATCTGCATGGGATGAGGTTCATACTCTGGATTATCTTTTTAAATCACAGAGGCTACATACTACAGATGCTTGTAAAACTGTGCAGGTTAAGATGGTTATTACAGTATAGTATATCATTATATAAACAAGTTCCTTTAAATGCTTGCAGGTATGAAAGCTGTGTGGGTTGACAGGGACCCACTTGTTTCCTCTGGCATGTGCTCTTTGCAGTACAACTGCCCATGTTTTCCCACAGGCAGGGCTGTCGCTAGCTTCCATGTGGCATTGGCATTCTGGTGCGCATTTTGGACATGATCTGGCTTAAGAATGCTAGCATCACCTTACAGTCCTGTCTCCACCCTGTACCAGGAAATCTGCTGAAAACAGGTGCAGTGCCCAAGCTGGGGTGTAAACCAGGCAGAGGTGGGTTGTCTGTACTGCCTCCATGCCTGTCCCTATGACTGCTGTGCCATGAACCTGGGTCCCTGCCGGCAGAGCTGACCCAGAGGCTGACTCCCTCTGCATCCATGCACACGTGACCCAGATTCCCACCCTGGAAACTGTCACTCCGATGCACACGCTGGTTGACCATGTCTTCTGCATGTGATCTAAATGTTCCCCAGCAGAAATCAGGGTGGAACCTTTATACCTTTACAAGGTAGATTTCAAGAGGCAGTGAGGCAGAGGCTCTGAGTGTGTTGGAGCCCATGTCATAGGGTCAGCTGCTGAGGAGAGGGTGAGCCGGCAGGACTGCCCTGTCCTGTCTCACTGCTCACCTGCCTGTCTGCCACGCAGGTTGCAGGAGGAGGCGTGCACCAGACTCTCCCTCTCTCTCTCTCTCTCTCTCTCTCCCTCCCCTCCCATTTTCTGTTTTTGTATTCTTGGCCCTAGTTGGAGTATTCTATAGGACATCTTGATAAACTACTTACCCCTATTTCTAAATAGAGTAGTTGGCAGAAATTATCCTTTTGTAAATCTAAATCAAACCCAGCAGCCAAAACTTGTTTCCTGTTTGAGGGCTGCTGTGCTCATTAGGCCTCTTTATCTATGTTATCTATCTCCTGTGCTGGCAACTAGCTTCTTTTTCTGGGCAGTTTTCCACTTAGAAGAATAATAGTATTTGTAGGTATTATTGCATCAAGTAGAAAGCAAATAAGAAATGCTAGTTTTGATATTGAATAGCTGGCCAAGCCCACTGCTAAGATTCTTTCTTCCCACATCAGCCAACCTCATTGAGCACCTGGCAGTCACAGGTTTGGGAATCTGAGCTACAGATACACAGTCCAGTCCTACATGTCAGTGCTGGATTTGGTGCAGACACACAGCGGCTCGCCTGGCTGCCTCTGCAGAACACTGCCTGTGCTCCTCTCTGCTTCTTGTTCCCTGTGCTCCACAGGCCACTTGCTCCATGCCCAAACTTACTGACTCTCCTAATCGAGCCTCTCTCTGGCATTGTGCCTCTCTGTCACCTGAAGAATGTGTCTTCTTTTGTCTTGTGCCCCCAACCTCTTTGTGTTGCTGTCATCTGTGACTTCAGGGCTATTTCTCCTTTAGCAGGTCCTCTGCTGTGCATCTTGCTCTGTCCCCATTCCCAAAGATCTGGTGCCTAGACACCATGCAGCGAGTTGGTTGGCACCTGGCTTCAAGGTTCCTCCGCGTCACCTCTTCTTCCACTGCTTCCCAGGCTCTCTCTATCCGTTCTCATTGCTCCCATTCAGGTGTGTGGGTTCTGCCCATGGCCCTTGTTAGGTAGCACTAAGCAGCCCTTTCTTCCCCTGCTCTGCACATCAGCAGTTTGGAACCTCCTTAGGAGGTAGAGAGGAGAGTGCCTGAGAAGGAGACTGCTCTCACTGCTATGCATTCGCCAACCCCTCTTATCTCAAAAGAAGTATCAGCTTGTGCCCAGATGCTTGCGTTCACATTACAGGCCATCGAATCTTCTCCACCCCTTCCTGATCCTGTGGAGTAACCTCTACTCTGCATTCCCCATCTCCTCTTCCCATCACAGCCACACTTTTTGTAAGAGCTTTCCAAGAAGCTATTGGTATTTTTCATCTACAGCATCTGGCTTCACACTTCAGTTGACTGTAATTAGGACACTTTCTCTCCCTAGTGGCCTTGAGTATTTCATTTCTCATTTTGTGATTGGCCCTTAAATAACTGCTGCCCAAAATCCCTGCCATGCCAGCTCACATATATTTTCAGCTTAATCTCTAAATCTGCAGCTCACATTTTATCTCAACATTGGTTCCTCTTCAAGAACCTTCTTTATCTCGGTCTTGGTATCACAAACTCTAGCACAGTGGTGGCGGAAGTGTGGCATGCATGCCACAGTGGACTGCTTGTCATTTAAGAGGTTCACCATCACTGCCCTAGACCCAAGAAACAAGGAATCCTTCCCCTCATGACTCCATTCCACCCATACCACAATGCCTCCCGGCACCAACTCTTTCTCCCAGGAGGAGACTTGTGACATGACTTTCCTCTAACCTCTGGGAATCTTAAAATCAGAGTGCTTCTTAAAGAAGCTGGGAAGACTGATCTGTCTCATCACTGTCCCAAGAAGGCAGCACAATGTCATCACTGAAGGTGACATCATTTTCTTGAAAACTCAAGACCATCCCTAGCATCAATTGTAAACTACCCACTCTGCCCTGGCCCTCCAGCCCTCTCTGCTGTCATGATGCCTTGGTGTGGCAGCTGCCACACTTCTAGGGTCTAGGGAGTAGTCACAGGTGTCAATCACAAAAGCATCACCTGAGGTTCTACCTGCTGTCCCTTTCCGTCCTGGCACTGTGATGCAGCTAGAGTCCACCATCGTGGTTGGTATATACCAACCAGGCATATACCACAGGTAGGAGGCTAAGGGCCTGTTCTTCCTTCATGCAGAGCAGTCTTCCTCAGTGTGAGCCTCAGCTCAGCCTCTGCCTGCCCAAGGGAGTCTTTAAGGATTGCAGTTTAAAGCTACTTTGAGCACAGTTGCTACCAACATTCATATAGGAGTCCATGTGAACCTGAACCTTTCATGCCTGTGAGATAAATGCTTGGGAGTAGAAAAATGTTGTTTTACACAAAACTGCCAAACCTAGGGCCACCTTTCACTTCATGGCAAGGTCTTCAGGTATTGGGGGTTGTCCATTTGTCCTTCCCCTTCTGTCAGGTTTTGCTTGACATGTCTTACAGCTCTGTATCTTATGATCGATAGTCTTGCACACTGTTCTGTAAGTCTAACTGCCTGTAACCACTTGGATATCCTTTGGGGGTCACAGAGGCTGAAGCCTCCAGGGCAGATGTAGTCCTGAGAAACAGCTAACAGGGCCAGCTGGGCACTAGCAGCTCTCTGAGCAGCATCACTGGGGGAAAAGCAGCCAAGGCAGGGAGCTCTCAAGAAGGAATATGGAGGTGATGCTATCCAGTGTGCACACAGGGGAACCTGTGGAGCCTTTGTGGCCACAGAACAGTGGGCAGCAGGGGCCAGCTGTGTGGGTCAGGGCTGGCGCCAGGGTAGGCAAGGGGGAGAGAGCTGTGGTGTGCTGCCTCCAGCTAAGCAGGGCTGGAGTTCTCAGTTAAAGGAAGCCCTGAGGGCAGTGAGGGGTTCTTGATTCTACTTCATAGTTAACTAATTCCAGCTTGGAAATCCAGTATTCCCATTTTGCAAACTGGTATTCCAAAGCAAATGTATGACAGCTGATAAAGAAGAAATGAAGAACTCTCCACACGGACACCAAACATGCCATATTGCACACTCAGTGTGCCGACCTGAAGTTGGCCTGAGCTGTCCTCTTCATAAGCTAGGGAGGAGGGAATAAAAGCAACCACACAAATCCATGGGGCAAACAGACTCATACCTGGTTTGTTTTTTTTTTTTTTTTGGTGGGGGGGTGGCTTTTTTTTCTTTTGTTGTTGTTCTGATGTTTTAAAACAGGATTTCACTATGTAGTCCAGACTGATTGTATACTTTGGGTGATCCTCCATGCCCAGCTCACAACTAACTTGAAGAAAAGAAAGACGTCCTCTAAGCATCATACACTCCTGTAATCCCAGCACTGTAGGAGGCCAAATCAGGACAATTGCAGTTCAAGCTGAGCTTCCATAATTTAGTGATTTAGAGAGACCCTATCTCAAAGTTAAAAGGGGTGGGAATATAGCTTGGTGTGAAGGCCATGAGCTCAAAGGCCCAGTACCTCAAAGAAAAAACGATGTGGTCTTTTCAAAGGTAGCTATAACTAGACTTAACTCTTTTGTACAGAAAACACTTGAAGTCTCTAGGTTAATTTTGCTTACACCTGAGTATGCAGATTTCTTTGAATCATGGCTAGCAGGGACCAATTTTATTCATTATGAAAATAGTTTTTAACCTTCCAGCTTCAGGAACAGCTGCCAAAGAGTGCAGTTTGGAAAAATCACTGAATTAACATGTGAGTGGAATATCAAAACTACACAAATGTGAAAAGGTAAATCAACATGTGTTTTGTCTTTTTCACAAAATATTCAGTTACCTGTTATCTGTGTCACATTAACAATAGGATTTTATTAAATTTTATGATCATTGTCTTTTGTGACTTTGTGAAGAATAAATGCATAACACTTTTTTTAAAGGTGTTTTTTCACAGTTTCTCTTTGTCTTTCAGATTTCTTGTTTAAATTCTTGGTTATTGGAAATGCAGGAACTGGCAAATCTTGCTTACTCCATCAGTTTATTGAAAAAAAATGTAAGTGATCCCCAGTAGCCATTCATTCACATGTCTGGTGGAAATGTGCTGAAGCTTAGATTTGCTTACAGTAAAACCCATTTTTTTCCAGAGGAAAAAAGTCATAGCTTAAAAGCACTTTTAAATAACTTTAAAATTTTATGTTTTTAAATTTTCAGTTATATGATTGAATTTTTATTGAGTTAGCATTTCAGTTCAATAATGGTTCAGTATATAGTTGTTTTCCTGATACTACATGATGATATAATGGTGGTAGGCTAGCAAAGGGAGGCCCAGGCAGGAGTCTTATTTGCTGATGAAGCAGCCAGACAAGCCCCAGGGACCATTTCAGATCCACATGCCCTATGGCCATTGCTGTGCTCTGTCCTGGTTTGCTGGTGCTACACCAAGATGGGAAGGCTGGCTGCCATTGATGGGTGTTGCCCAGGTAAATGAGGCTGGTTCTTTACTCCAAACTGTATGAGACCCCAGTGGCTGTGAGCTTAAAAGACCCTTAAATAAACAATGTTATGATCCTGGGAGAAATTGGAAAATGACCTACGCAAACAAAGGTAACTTTGCTTCATGAAATATACCGGAAACAGGAATGTCTCAGCACCTCAGTAAAGGAGATAATACAAGCAGTCTTGGCAGAGGGTGGTGATGAAAATAAAATTTCTACTTCTGTCAGTAAAGTGTTAGTTGGGTCTCTTGCTCAATGACCAGGTTTGGTGTAGACTCTAAAACCATTTCTGCCAGGAATTTACCTCAGTAGCATAAGCACCTGCATGGCAAGCGCAAGGTTGTGAGTTGAATCCTCAGTACCACAAAAAAAATAAATAAATGAAACCAGTCCTTCCTGGGCTAAGGCTCTTTACATGTTGCCAGATCTTCAAAAATAATGCCCTACGGCTGGGGATTTAGCTCAGCGGCATAAGCACCTGCCTTGCAAGCAGGCAGTCCATGAGTTTGATCCCCGGTACCGATAAAAAAGAAAAAGACAAAAAAAATGCTTCAAAAATAATGCCCTAAGGCCACCAGGCAGGCCCTGATAACCTTTCCTTCCTTCTGGAATCCCTGGAGGCCACAAATGTTCCAGAAGTGACAAGGGACAGATTATTTTATTTCAATGGCTGGGTCACAACCAGGATGTTCTTGACCTTTGGTTACTGCTGAGTCTGTCACCCATGTTGTATTTGGCAGCCTACCTCTAGCCTGCTTCTCACCCCAGCCTGCACACCTCTCCTCTAGAGCAGGGGCCCCTAGTCCTGTTGGAACTGGGCCACACAGCAGGTGGTGAGCACCAGGGATCAAGCGAAGCTCCCTCATGGCTTGAAGTCCCACTGAGCTCCACCTGTCATATCAGCATTAGATTCTCCTAAGAGCATTAACCCAAGTGTAAACTGCACATTGCATACCCCTTTGAATCATCTGAAACCATCTACGACCAACCCTGATCTGTGGGAAAATGGTCTTCCTTGAAACCAGTCCTTGGTGCCAAAAGATTGAGGACTTCTGCTCTAGAACACCTGTCCTCCAGAACAGTTGGAAGTCACCACCTCATTGTAGACCAGGTGCCCTGCCTGTTGCTGGACCCTGCATCCTGCAGGGTGTGCTATCGGCCATCATCATGTGAGCTCTCAGTAGTGGGTACCTGGATATCTCTGGTTCAATCAGCCACTTCCTTCAAATGTACCATGTTGAGGGACTTGAAGGAAAAACTTTATTGTATTTTACTTAAAATAGTGAATGGTTTTTATCAGCGGGCATTTTGGAGAAAGGGAAAGCTAAGATAAACTGCATTTTCAATTGGTATAGCCCTTAATTCTGTTATTTATATAAATGTATAAACCTGTTATGCTAATGTCCTAAAATCAAAAACCTTGTTCTTGTTTTTCTTTTTTAGTCAAAGATGATTCAAATCATACAATAGGAGTGGAATTTGGTTCAAAGATAATAAACGTTGGTGGTAAATATGTAAAGTTACAGATATGGGACACAGCAGGACAAGAACGATTCAGGTAGCTTTTCTTCTAACTTGATAAAAATATTCAAAAGAATTAATTGTATTTTTTCACAGTATAGGGTCTTACCCCCCAACACCCTCCCCGCCCCAGCAATGACTTCAGATATTCCACTCTGGAAGCTCTTACAGATACGACAGCTAAACCTTGGCTTAGTTGCATGCAGCACTGATCCTAAAGGTCACCATAGAGCCTCAGTAAGGCCCTGGAATTTAAAGCCCAACTCACTGTCAGGAGCATAGCACTGTGCATCCACGGTATGCGTTCAGACTGAAATGGAGGCAGAGTAAGGTACAGACACATTTTTCTGTATCTCCCTTCTAAGGAGGAATTTTTTTTAACCTCATGTGATGGTCGTTCTGTTGAACGAAGCACATTGTGATGAATGGCATACATCCCACAGAACATTCTGTCCTCTGCTCTTAGGTGACAGTGCAGTTGCAGCTGTGCTTAGGATGATGGCTTCAGGACACTGCTGATGAGGACAGTTGCTTGGTTAGCATCCTGCAACCCACACAAAAGCAAGATGGAGCTCAACATTCTAAAAAGATCCAGGCCAGAGTGTGCAGTGTCAAAACACCAGGATGACGCACAAACCCAGAAAAGCATCAAGCAGGGAGAACAGTCACATGTTATATTGGAAATTAGAACTGCATTGGACCATCAATAGCAACACTAGGAACTAAAAACACCAAAAACTCAGAAGGATACCTTCAGACATTGCACACACAGCCCAACTGTAAATTAAGTATAAGCATAAAAGCAGAATGCTTTCAGATGGGCAGGAACAGGAGGAAACCAAATTGTTTCACATTCACTGCTTTAGCTTAGAGCACCTGCTTTTGCCAGGATGAGACACAGCCCAGAAGAAGTGATGAGGCCTACAGGGTGCAAGGTCAGAGCAGACTGCAAAGAAGGGCCAGGACAGAATCCAGCATGTGCCCCGAGTGACCTCAGATTGCCAATGCAGGGCACAGTCAACTCCAAGACTTGTAATTCAGAGTTTCAGGACATTTTATAGAACTACAGGAGCAAATGCCAGAAAAGACTGTAAGGCTTATCATTGTAAGTGTGTGTCTCTCTCATGCCCAGAAGTGTGTGTACATACGTGCTCAGCACACATCCTTTCCTGACTTCATCATCCAATAAAAGTATATCAGTGTTTTACTGGAGAAACAGATAGAACACAAGATATACAAATGTGTAGGAATTTACAAGATTGCCTTACAATGGTCACCCCAGAGTTGGATGAGAAAGAGTGCAGAGGGTGTCCGCACACTGGAGATTGAAGGTTTCAGTCCAAGGTCTCAAACTTACTGCAGTGGCCTGTGCAAGTCTTTATCAGGAGGCTGATGGGTCTGCCAGGGAAAGTTGTAGAGTCTACGCCATCAGGCTGAAGAGTTGCACTGAAGCCAAGATGATATCCAAGGTGAAGGCAAAGACTGGTGGTCCTCCAAAGAAAGAGAAGCAGATCTGTCTTTCCTCATTTCCCCTTTGTACAGTCCTAGTGGCTCCTCCACACCATAGGATGTCGAGTTGCTGAGCCAATTTAGTTAAGCTTCTTTTAACAGAACTTCTCAAACTGACACGTTCAACCATCACAAAAAGAAAAACTAAGGGCTCAGAGCTTCTGCAGAGGGAAGCAGATGTCTGTGTCATTTTTAAGGACACAAAGGAACGTGTTACCTTAAAACTATGTATGTGTGTAAGAACCATGCCTGATGGGGCACACCTGTAATCCCAGGCTGAAGCAGGAGGATCAGAAGTTCAAGGTCAGCCTGAGCAATTTAGAAACAAATGAAACAAAACCACCACCAAAAACTATGTATGTGTGTTACACTGGTCAAAATTCCTTTTGCAAAAATTTTAATACATTCAAAAAATATTTTCAGATACTTACATTTGTAGACTTGAATAATTTATATAAGAAATCATCTTCAAATCTTTGTAAAATAAAGTAAGAAGTATATGGGAAGCTGGGTGTGGTGGCACACACCTGTAATCCCAGCACTCTGGAGACTGAGGCAAGAGAATTGCTGTGAGTTTGAGGACAACCTGAGCTACATAAACAAATAAAGGCAGTGTGAACTACATAGCAAGAAAATAAAACAAAAGAAGGAAGTAGGAGCCAGGAGTGGTGGTGCCCTCCTGTAATCCCAACCTTAGCCAGACTATATCACCCACACACACACGCCCAAAAAAGAGTCCTGTAGCTCAAGTTGAGAATCTGTGTGCTGTTTCTTGAAATGAGAGGCACCAAAGGGAATTCCATTTTGGTACTGGGGGGAATCTGAAAGGTTGGTAATGCTGGGAAGAAATGTTGCATGAAAACAAACCTTGAGGTTGAGCCCTTTATGGAGACAGGTGGAGTTGGGAATGAAAAAAGGAAGAGGTGGAGGAGCATCATAGATGCAGCATGGTGGTCCCCACAGAAGAGTGAGGACCCTGCTGAGTGTCTGTGCTCACCTGGGGTAGGGGAGGTCTCATCACGTGCACATACCTTAGCCTCCTTTTCCCATTTCATGGATAGTCCACTTGAACTGCCCCACTTTAGGGGATACCTTGCTGGTCCTAGCCTAATGTCTACTTCTTACCACTTTTTCTGACACAGTTTCCAGCAGAAAATGTCTCACACAAATGCAGGGATCAGGAGTACTGTCTCTTTTGAATCAGGGTCTTCTCTATGGTTACAGAGGAAGCATGGTGTTTCCATGGGAAGGTGGGTTTTTGTAGTAAAGGGTCCTGACTGGTTGAAAGTGAAACCCATGCAATTCTTCCAGGTCTGTGACAAGAAGCTACTACAGAGGGGCGGCCGGGGCCCTCCTTGTCTATGACATCACCAGGTAATGCCAGCTCCCCACGGCAGAGGCCACTCGGTACCCTCCATTCTGGAGGCCAGTGTTGGTGAGGTCCCATGTATGTGTCAATGTTCATGAGTGGGCATAAGGTAGCACCCAGAAAGTCGTTCAGCCCTTCTTTATGTGTCTTAGAGGGCTTTGATCTGATTCCAGCCACTATTCTACCATACAGAGCAAAGTATCTGTAAGGCTTGAGATTGATACAGCAATCCTATTTCACTGCATCTCTTAACATGGTGCCCACACATATTCTTTAAAGTCCACAAAACTTTATGCATCCGGAAATTCCAAAAGTGAGTTATGAGCAGGACATGGTAGCTCACACCTGTAATCTCAGCACTCATCATGCTGAGGCAGGAGGATTGTTGTGAGTTACCTGAGCTACAAAGTGTAGCCTGGGCTACAGAGTGAGCTCAAGGCCAGCCTGGACTACTAGTGAGACCTTGTCTCAAAAGAAGGAAATAGTATAAGTGATAGAACATTCTGTCCTCGAAGAACAGAAAGCTTTGACCTAGGATTTGTGGCACCATCCTAAATGTATGCATTCCCAGGGCACTGTTGAGGTTGTCCTCTTAGTTAGAACCATCTAGGAAGAGAACACCATATAGCCACTTAGGACATCCAAGAGGAGATGGCAGCTCTCAGTCCAGCCCTCTGCTTTGGCCCCTCTGGCAGTATGAGGCCTGTCCTGCCAAGGTCTCAGGAGTGCCTGCTCGTTAGTATGGCAGATACTTGGTCCGAGGTGGACAGACCTGGTCAGGTCCTGCTTTACTGGTGGCTGTTTTGTGACCTTGGTGTCTCTAGGCCTCAGGCTTTTCATGGCAAAGAAAGATAAAAGTAGTCATCGTCACCAAGTTCTTAGGAAGGAAAGTCTGCATGATGCATTCTTGTGAGACAAAGCACCAGCAGTTCCAGAACCCACTAAATGGCGTAGCAGGGTCCAGTGTTGGCCTCCTTCACTCAGAGTGCAATAGGTACTCGTGGGTTAGAGATGTAGGCCTCCTTTTCCTTCTGGACCCTCATGTTCTGTTGCATACATCCTGTGGTTCTGGCATCAAGGTGCATTCAAGGTGCTTAAGTTACGTGGAGGGTGCTGTTGTCCTGACCTGAATTGTTGAAAAGGCTTGTGAATAGTGCAAGTGACTGGAAAGAGTTGCTAGTTTTATAAAATACATGTATTATTTTCACAATCTTATGTTACGCAGCCGAGAAACCTACAATGCGCTTACTAATTGGTTAACAGATGCCAGAATGCTGGCCAGCCAGAGCATCGTCATCATCCTCTGCGGGAACAAGAAGGACCTGGACACCGACCGGGAAGTCACCTTCCTTGAAGCCTCCAGGTTCGCGCAAGAGAACGGCAAGTGACCTTCTTCAAGGGCAGATCTGTGCCCATGGCATTTTTTTGGGGTTTAAGATATCTTGAGTTTTGAGATTAAACTATATTTCAGAGATGTGGAATTTCCACTATAAATTCAGGCATATCCAGCCTATGTTCAGTATATTGCCTTCTGCCTACAAGTTACTGTGCAGATAAAAGCAAATGTATTAGCATTCCTTAATGGTCCATGGTCTCTGAATATGAGGTTTTGGGTTAGAGCATTGTCAAATCTGTTTTGAAATGATGTTGATGACATAGTCACTTTAAGTAGCAAGTTGAAGAGACATTTGGTTTACTGGCTTTATTTTACTTACATTCAGAAGCAACTGAAGGGGTAAGAGATTTAACTCAGTGGCATAAGTGCCTGCCCGGCAAGCACAAGGTTGTGAGTTCGATCCCTGTACCAAAAAAATGACCATTTAAGTCATAGTACTATGTGATTGGGCCAAAGATATAGCTCAGTGGCATAAGCACCTGCCTGGCAAGCGTGAAGTTGTGGGTTCAATCCCCAGTATCAAAAAAAAAAAGCAACTGAAAGTTCTCTGAATTTGCACAGAAAATACCCAAGACTGTCACATAAAGTTAATGCTTGCTTATGGATAAAAGAATGATAAAGATTCAGACATTTTATATAACTTTATCTTTGAGAGTTAACCAAGAACTAGAATATCCTAGTGTCAGTATTTAATTGGGCTCTTAAGACCCCAACCTGCTCTTACGATTTAACGGATTTTCTGCTGAGAGTAAACATGTAGTGAGCAGGTTAGGGTTCATTTTTGAAGAGCTGATTAGAATGTGGCAACAGAGGAGACAGGGTGGAGGAATGACCTTTGCCAGTGAGGACCAGAGGCCAGAGAAATGACTTTTTTCCCAAATGAGCCAGAACACCTTTCTCTGGGTCAGCAGCTGCTCTGGGGCTAAAGAAGCATTAACACAAGTAAGAACATCTCTGTGCCCTAGAAAGCATAAACGCTTGTGTGTGGTGTTTGTCATACACATAGACATTGGTGCTTCTCTGTAGCCAGCCTTATCCCTGGTGACCACTACCAGGTGGAGTCTGTTGCTCAACCCCAGATAGGGGTGAGCACAAGGTGATTGTTACTATTCAGGGACAGCTTAGCAATGCTAACGTTTTACATATAGTATTGGTTCTGTATTTATTGAAACAGATGGCCATAGGCCATGAATTACATTTTCTCTGCTATTGTAAGAAAATGCTGAGCAGTCTGTTAGTAGTTGGATATTAAGATCATCTTCTAAATGTGGCCTGTGTCTTGTTTGATGTCGCTTTTAGAGCTGATGTTCTTGGAGACAAGTGCACTGACAGGGGAGAATGTAGAAGAGGCCTTTGTGCAGTGTGCAAGAAAAATACTTAACAAAATCGAATCAGGTAAATCTCTCCCCTCAGTAGACACTCTTCTGTTTTAGCATCACCTTTTAATGAATTTAAGCACAGCAGGCCCCACCCTCTCTTCACCTTCCTCTCATGGGCTTGAAAGTCCTATGGCTGAGATTTGAGTCCCCCTTACCAGTGTGGCTTTTGCAGCTACCACAGAAAATGGGCCCAGCCAGGAGGGAGGAGGGTTTTGGTGGGAGGGTGTACTCTTAGAGTTGAGTCTCTTTGAGGCCCATCACATTCAAAAAAAAAAAAAAAAAAAAAAAATAGGCCTTGGGTGGCATCTGTCAGCATGCTGATCTGCAGGACCAGAAGTCCTGCAGGGCTGGCAAGCTGTGTGGGCTGAGGAAGTTGCAAGCAGAACATAAAAGGATGGTCACTGCAGACTGGGCACCAGCAGCCATGCTGTTGGAAGTAACTTCTGAGCTAACTAAATACACCTCAGTTGCAGTATACATTATTGTATTTATTACTACTGTAATAAATACAGTAGTAGGCAGCAATGGGCTATGTAGTTGCAATTTACTAGAGATGATATTTAGGTTCATTTCGCCAGAATTACACGTGCGCATTCACCATTTAATTCATGCAGTTAAGTGTCTGAGCTCCTGTCTTTTGTCAAGCTGAGTAAACTGCAGCCTTTGCCCTCAGGAAACTGTCTATCTTGGCAGGTAATTAAAAACAGCACTAATCTCAGGATAAGTTGGAGTGATCAAGAGGCAATACAGGCTTCCAGGTCAACATGGAAGAGGGGGCTTTCCCTAGCTCAAGCACAGAGGTTGCCAGGGAGGGCTTCCTAGAGGAAGTAGCTGCATGTTTAGAAGAGGGAGCAGCTGGGCAGATGATGGGGGTTGGCAGTAGAGAAACTGAGGAAGCAGAAGCAACCCTCAGTTCTCAGATAAGACCTGGAGCTTCGGCTTATGGTCGCTGGTGCTCACCCAAACTGTGCCCTGGTCTCTTGGCACCCTGTAGAAATCCTAGTCCTCAGCCACACCTGGTGTGGCACTGTGGATGCTCTCTGCCACAAGTCTGACATCCACCAGGTACAGTGAACTCTGCTGAACCCTATATCCATGGGATTTAGAAATCATTGTTTCTTTTCCTTTGTTACACAGACCCAAGCACATGTTAGCTGCCAGGCCTTGGCTCTTTCACATACACCCACAAATCATCACAAGCCTGTGTCAGGAGCTTTCGTACACCTGCGTTTACAACTAACTCCAGGATTAGAGGGGGGTCACACATGTGGTATGAAATGTTCTGTGTGTGTTTCCCCATGACTTACAGAACTGGCCTGTTGCACACATCTGGGTTTTGGCCAGCACCTTGCTGTTACAACCAGCCTGCACAGAGGGACCTCTCAGTGTCATTTCACACAGGCTGAGGGTATGAGATATGAGTTCCCTAAGAGGGCAGTATGTTGGCACGTCAGCAACTAGGCTCAGTGCAGGCATCACCTTTCCTCCCACAGAGAGGCGCATTACACAAGCCAGGGTCACAGGGGTGTTGTCAGAGTACAGTTTTACCTACCTAGTAAATGAACAGAGGTATCTCTGTGTTTTTAATTTAATTTTTTTTTTTTTTGGTGCCGGAGATTGAACTCATGACCTCGTGTTTGCCAAGCAGGCACTTACGCCACTGAGCTAAACCCCCGGCCCTGTGTTTTTAACTTTAAATTGACTAATTTCGCACACATCTCTACTCACAGAATTCCAAATTTAGCATGTACTAGAGTATATAGTAGAAAAATCTCCCTCCAGTGCCACCTCTCCTGTCTCCAATCACCCCAAATTTGAAGCCAGCCATTATCACAGCACTGTGCACTCTTTTAGAGATATTTAATGTCTATTCACATGAACTTTGTCATTTATCCTCACCTCAACACAGTAGCATAAAGGCATGGTGTGTGCTTCGCTTCACTTCATGTTTTGGGGGATCTCAGAAGCATAACCATTCTTCTAAAGGAGTCTCCCTTGGTCCTCAGGTGAATTGGACCCGGAAAGAATGGGCTCAGGCATCCAGTATGGAGACGCTGCCCTGAGACAGCTGCGGTCCCCGAGGCGCACACAAGCCCCAAGTGCACAGGAATGTGGGTGCTAGGAACAGGTGGGTACTCCCCAAACGAGTCTAGCCCAACATGCTTGAGCGTAGGATGGAGCAAGGGGTGAGGCGCTGCACCATGGCAAGGAGGGGAGACAGTGACAGAGCTGAGCCTCTGCAGGAACTCCTCATTCCCTTTCCAGATGGCTCTCAGCAGGAGTGGCTGAGACAGAAACCCTTCTCCCAGTAGACCAGGGAGGAGACAACCTTGACTTAAATTGAGGTTTCTATGAATGTGCCTTTTGCTGAAATAGAAGGCTCACTTCTAAAATTGGCAAATGTCTCCATTTAACTTTTGAAAGCTTTCTCCTTTTCCCATTGATCACAGCAGATTTCAGTCACAGCACTCTGGGCAGCTGAGGCAGATGGATCACAAGTTCATGCCCAGCCTGGGCAACTCAGTGACTCAGTGAAACATTGCCTCCGAATAAAAAAATAAAAAGGGCTGCTTTGTAAGACAGGGTGAAGGCCCAGGACTCAGTCCTCACTCCTGTCAAAAAATATTAAACAAAAGAAGAGGTGTCCACTAACTTTAGGCTTTAACCTTTATTTATTTCTACTTTATAACCAAGCAGATTTTTAAGTTGTTCTTAATATTTTCAGGTGTCTACAGTGGAATATGGACACCAGGGCTGGAACTCAAAGAATTTGAAGTTTTTTTTTGTTTTTTTTTTTTTTTTTGTTTTTTACCACCATCTCTTTTCTACTCTATGCAGAAGTAGATCTTTATGGGGAAAAGGCAGTGTGGGGTGTTATGCAAGCTGGTGTAGACATACCCAGCAGCCACATAATGAACCTGACCCCAATGGACAATACCATCAGATGTACACACATATGTAAAAACCTCTCGTTCCACACTTTCCCTCTCACCTTCAGCTTGAGCCATGACCTTGTACTGTGTATACCCCAGTACTGTCCCACTGCATGTATCCGTGTATGATATGACAGAATGTTGCAATGCAGTTTAATATTTTTTTTAATCATAGGAACTGAGAATCATTAATATGAGGTGTGCTTGCTCATCATATTGGTTATATTTATGACCTGATATTCAAAGACTCTGGCATTAATAGCCAGTGTGTTACTTATTTAATTCTGCTTTCCACATTCTGCACTGTGTTTATGTGATCCACACTTGAATTACCAATGATCATTCACTAACATCCTGAAATAAAGTGAAAGGCGGAGTTTGCCATGAACTGTACACTGTCTGTTCTTAGTTGACTTCAAGCTTCTGCCCAAGTCAGCTCAAAGCTCACCACTGGTGTCCTGGACTGTTGTGGACCACATGACCAGTACTGGGATTCTGGTGTGTTTGATCCATCCTCCCAGGTACACTTTGTCGCAGCACCGAGGTAACATAGCGAGCACTGGCTCCTCAGCAGCTTCTCTGCCTCCAGCTGCTGATCTGTCTGTCTCCCCGCTAAAAAGCACTGGTTTGCTACTATAGTTTTTCTGGAATTCAGTATAAAGGCATCGCTACCTCTATTTCAAATCTTCCATTGTGTTGTGTCCAGGGAGACCCACTAACTCTAATGCATATTAAAAGGATACTTACTGAGGAACTTCTTTTTAACTTGTGTTGCATAGTTAGATGCTCACTACAGTTTTGTGTTGACCCATTTTTAATTCACGTATATTATAAAGATTGTTCTTATATTGTAGGATGCTGATGCAAAAACTATATAATGAAAACTTTGTTTAAAGCTGAAATATAGTATTGAGTCAGGTTGAAAAGCATTCTTCAAATTATATAATGCCCTTCCACTCTGACTTTTTAGCCACAGATGGGTAAATTTAATGAACGTTCATTTAGAAGCTGCCTATTTAATAAACATAGGAGCACAGAGACACAAACATTAGGAAAATGATTTGGCTAAAAAGAACAGTTTGCATGTGTTTTAGATGTTTTACATTTTAGAGTTTTTTTTATCCCATGAATGTTTTACTTTGAAAAGTTAGATGCTGAAGCAAACTCTTGAACTGAACTCCCTGGAGAGCAGTTCACTCAAGTCTCAGGACTGCTTAGCTTGGAACAGCTCTTTGAATGGGGTAGGAGTGTGTCAGTTCATTTCGGGCAAGAATTGTAAAATAAGATAAATTTAAAGTTGTTTTACAAGTAAGCCTATAACTAAACCACAGATACCGTATATTATTTCTTGTTCTGTGACCAATAAAAGTCGCTGGAGAATGGTGACCCTCAATAAAGCCCTTGCCTTCAAGAAAACTATAAGAAGGGGACCACTTGGTTTTGGGCAGTCCAGCAATAAATGTACATGTGTACATCTGTTCCACAAATTATGACATTTACAGGACACTCTTACATTGGTGTTTTGGAAGAGTAATTTTCATCCTTTCTAGAAAGAGGCTGTGAAGTCCATTTGAATGTGAGGTTGCAATTCTTTACCACTGGCATGCAAATAAAAACGAGCACAGCAAGTTGGCGAATCTGCCACGGTTTTGTTGGAAATATGGCTTGTGGTTCTGAGAAGAGTTGCTGAAAAGGTAAGAACATTGATTCCTAGCAAGTCTACTATACCTAAAGAGTTAGAAACCTAAATGATTTGTGGTTTCTGCTGTGGCAGAGCAGATGATGGGCTCATTTTCTGTCACTTCATCTTTCTGTGAGGGGGCAACTAACAGAAATTTTAGTAATTTGTTAAATACCTGTTGTGAAGTGAGTCTTTTATTTATTTATTTATTTTTGGTGCCAGGGATTGAACTCATGACCTTGTGCTTGCCAGGCAGGTACTTACGCCACTGAGTTAAATCCCCACCCTTGAAGTGAGTCTCTTTTGTGATCCATCTGACTGTTCATGTAAATACAACCAGAGTTTGTTGTACTTGTTCCTTGGCTACTGCATGGTTGTATTATAGTTCTTTTAAGGGACTGTGTTCAGGACATCAGACTCAGCAGTCTTAGTACAAACAGGGGCCAGGTTGTCAGCTATCACCCCTTGAGGCTGGAGAGAGTCCTTAGAATGGCTTGGTAATCTTTCATTTTTTAAAAATAGTGTGTAGATTCTTTATAATTGTTTTATTATTGTTTTTATTATTGTTTTATATTTAAATTGTTTTTATTATTGTTTTATTAACAATTGTTATAATTGTTTTATTATTGAGACTGTTAATATGCATGAGAACTGAGAAAATAGCATAGTGAACTAGGACAGAGCTGCCACCTGTTACCCCACGGCGGGAGCACAGGACAGGCTGTAGTGCTCGTGGAAAGGACAACCCCAGAGCCTGTGTCTCTGAGTCTCCGCTGTGCCTGGACATCACCACTATAACCTGTCTACCACAAGACCCTTGTGTGCAAAGCCCCTGAACTGATACTCACCCCCTCTCTCGCTTCATTCCTTCCTTCTTCCATGCTGGATATGAACCCAGGGCCTTGTACATGGTAGGCAGATGCTCACCACTGCACTTACCCCCAGCCCTTACTTGTCTCTTTCTGTACATTGGCTGTAGAGTGTAGAGTCCTTGTTATCTTACACTCTCTTAGGTTAAGACTTAATGTTTGGGCTGAGAGCATTGTCATTGAGGTAAGCATTTCTTGGGAATTCTGTTTACATTCTCCCTTGGCTCTCAGCACCTTCTTTCTTGGCCTGGTCTGTGAGCACCTAGTAGGTATGGCTGCAGGTTCCCCACCCATCAGATTTGTCACTCAGAACAGAAGTTTCTCTGTGGCTGTGAAGGAGCAGCACCAAGGCTGGTATAGGCCATGTGGTGTGTGACAAGTCCTAAGTGCCCAGAATGGGTGTTGGCCTTTCAGTTCTGCTCATCACACGCACAGTCACAGCCAAGAGATCCCCATGTCAGGATAAAGCCAGCCTGCACTCAGGAACCACCACTGCCTCATGGGCTTAGCAGGAGGGCAGGTGTTCACTCCCTGACCCTGATTTTAAGATTAAATAACTTTGCCTGACACCTTGAGATTTAAACTTTGCATTCTGATTGGCTTGTAAATATATATTTTATCTGATTTTCCAAACTTCACTTCTGCCTGAGCTGTGTGAAATACACTTTTACATCCAGGAGACCATAGTCACTGCAGATCTGAGAGTCCCTGTGGCCATTCCCTTCTTGTTTAGAACTTAATACTCCCTTCTTGTTTAGAATTCAGTTTTGTTGTTTGGTTGGGGTCTTTTGTTTTGTTTTTTGGCACTGGGGATCAAACTCACAACTTTGCACTTGCCAGGCAGGCATTTATGCCGCTGCGCTGTATCTCCTACCCAGAATACAGTTGATCAGAGAAATTTCTAGGCAATGTTTAGTTTAACAGGAAATTCTTTTTTTTTTTTTTCTTTTTACCGGTACCGGGGATTGAACTCACGACTGCCTGCTTGCAAGGCAGGTCCTTATGCCGCTCCCGCCCCAGGAAGTTCATTTTTAATACTGCTAATAAAATGTTATAATAACACCTCCACAGGGTATTACTGGGTGGGGGAGAAGCACCAGTGATTGAACCCAGGGTTAGCTAATTTTGAGACAAGATTTTACTAAGTTGGCTCAATTGCTTAAGCTGGCTTCCTTTTTTCTTTCTTTTCTTTTTTTTTTTTTGTAACGGGGATTGAACTCAGAGCCTTGTAGGTACTAGGCAAGCACTCTCACTACTGAGCTACATCCCCAACCCTAGGCTGAGCTTTATCTAGGAATCCTCCTGCATCAGCCTTCCAGAATGCTGGAATTGTAGGTATACACCATCACTGCCAGTGGAATATTGTATTTGTATAAGTTAAAAGCAAAGTAAAATAAAGCACTGTCACATTCCGCATCTAATTTCACCTTCACAGGGTCAAGTCAGGTACTGGGCCCTGGAAGTTGAGAGCCTGGGCTGGAGGCTGGGGTTGGCTCATCCACACCTGGGAGCAGCCTGCTCTGGAGCAGGTAGTAAGCAAGGGACTCAGATTTTGTGGATTGGAATCTTGTTCTTTCAACATTTTCTTATGAAAATTTCAGACATGTTTGCTAGAATTCTTTTTCTTGTATATGTTTTCCATTTTTTCCCTCTTATTGTGACATAAGGGTCATTAGAGATGGTTGGCGTAAGTGGCAGGGGTAGTCATTATCCAGGCAGGTTTTTTACCATTTTAAAATTGAACAGTAGTGGAGAAGCAAATTATTATTCATTATCTCTGTGTTAGAGATGTGTGGAGTATTGGTAAAAGGAAAATAATCAGAAATGTATGAGGATAAACATTGAAGTGAAAGAAGATATTCTTCAAGATTTCATTTGGAAACAAAATAACTGATAATTATACAAGTGGAGCCATTCTTCTTCACATTATTTATTCTGTAAGTCCTTATCAAATTGTCATAAACACATATTAAGAGCCAGACTACAGGCCAGAAAACATGTACAACACATAAGACAGTTATACTGAGTCAAAGTACACTTTTAGATACATTCTCCATACTGGATTACAGTAACTCGTCTTCTCTCTCATTTTTTCCTATTGTATATCTTTTATTTTGCATTTTATTTATACAGTATATTGGGTTTCTTATACAAGAGAAACCATGCAATATTGAAGCTTGTGTGTCTGATTCACTTCACGTAGCATTATGGTATCAGGGTGCATCCATTTTTCTATAAATGACTCAAGTTTATCCTTGTGGCAGAGCAGTACTCCAATGTCTGTAAGTACAGATCCACTCATCTGCTGTTTATATACAATCCACTCATCTGCTGTTTATATACAGATCCACTCATCTGCTGTTTATATACAGATCCACTCATCTGCTGTTTATATACAGATCCACTCATCTGCTGTTTATATACAGATCCACTCATCTGCTGATGGACATAACAGGCTACTTTTAAGATTAGCAATTATGAATCGTGCTTCTGTAAACATGGATATGCATGTATCACTATGATAATTCTTTTAGGGTGATACCTAGAAGAAATAGTTGGGTCAAATGGAATTTCTGGTTCTAGGTTTTTTGTTTGTTTGTTTGATTTGTTTTGCTTTGCTTTGTTTGTTTTGAGGGATTGCCATACTGATTTCCATAGTGTGTATACCAGTCTACACTCTCACCAACATTGGAGAGATGGGCTCTTTTTTCCCCACATCCTTGCCGGCATCTGTTACTTGACTTTTTCATGATAGCCATTGTTTCTGGAGTGAGATGGAATCTCAGAGTTGTTTAAATTTGTATTTCTCAAAGCCCAGTGATGTTGAACATTGTTTCATGTAT